CCAACAATTCCAACTACTGAAGTTCAGTCGGTGAAAGCACGCTACTTCTTGCAATGTGTTTTTGTGTTATTTTAATTCAAGGCAGCCAAGCATCTCAAGCTTCAAGTCCATATCAGTGGCCAGTTGGTGCAATTTCGGATGAGGAGAGTGGAGTCACTGTTGGAGAGTGGAGTCCTGTTGGTCCTCACGGAGCAACAACAATCCTTTCCCAAAAAGCTGGCTAAAGAACCGTGTATTCTTTGGGGTCGGCCCGAATTGGCCCCATGAAGGAACTTGAGCCTCACAACGAGACCGATGGAATCGGACCGCTTCAAGGGTCAGCTCGCACCCGCCGAACCGCCGGACTCGCCGAACCGCCGGGGGCGTCATCCATGGGCCCTTTATCCTCAGGAACGGCCCAGCATCGCCAGCGTCTTGGAGGCGAAAAAGGCCTTGCCCAGTGACGAGGCGGTGGCGAAGATCAAGCGCCAGAGCCGCAAGACTAACGCGCCGGAGAGGGAACTGGAGACAGCGCACATCAGTGCACATATGCCATTAGTTAGAGATCGCTTGCATATGTGTACAAACAAGTATATACATATATAGGTACACTATGCCTCAAAATTCATTATAGATTGTTATTACAGACTTTTTGAGGTATCCTCACAGCGTAGGGTTCTTGGTCCAAGGTCAGAATTCCTGTTCAAGAGTACAATCATCACGAATTGGGAATGCAGGAAGGAACTTAAACTATAAGCCCATCCGTCGACAATGCACATCCTCCCCCATACACAACTCCGTTGCTTGGTATGGAAGGAAGGTTTGACATGATCAAGCACTTGCTTCTTCATATTGCTTGCTTAAGTTTTCCTTTTGGACATTTATATTTCGTTTGGATGCCGATGTTTGTTCCTTGACGCTCGAGGAAGCAGTTCAAGGAGCTTGATGTCAACAAGGACGGCGCTTTGCAGTTTGATGAAATGAAGCAGATGCTTCAGACTTTGAATCGTACCTTGGCTTTGCATGCTGTATGCCAATCCAGGGAATCTATAAAATAGGATTTGGGACAGCAATTTCATACTGGTGCACGGTCATTCTGAGGGTCCTTCTGAGCAGTTCACTCAGAAGCTGGGGAAAGACGTAGGTGAAGCTATGGGCCATGGGAAGCGACTGTCCATCCAACACGTCAGACGCAGCCAGGCCCCACGGGGTTGTCAGAGTCGACCTCTCATCCCTACAACACCCTTGACTATTAGCATAGTCAGGTACCTTCATTGGTTCTAAGTATTGGCCAGAGACATCAGCCAGACATGAACGATATATAGTATATGGTGCTAGAAACGATGCTCCAACATGCACCGGTGCTTTGTTGGCAAAGCATGACAACAAGAACACCGCGCGTCTTTCCAAGTGTGTGTCTTTTCTCGCCCGGCCTGATGATTGCTGTTTTGCTGTTCTGTGAGCCGCGTCGACCTCAGCCGCTCAGTTCGTCCACCAAGGAAGCCTCTCAGAGGTGCAAGTGCAGACGCTTGGCAAGGCTGCTGGTGGCTTCATCCCAAAGGAACCGTGTGCAGTTCCACTAGCCGAGCCCTAAAGCTATTATGATATATGATATGATATGTTTCATTTACCTGTACATACAGTAAACATACGAAATCAGAGTGCCCATTCCGAAGTTCCAGAGTATCACTGGAAGTCTTCTAAAGGGCACATTTGAATCCATGGTCCTTTGCATTCCCCTGATGCTTCGCAGCATTTTCTGAGCAAATGACAAAGCCAAGTCAGCAGCGCGGAGTGGGGTGTGCTGCTCGGTAGCGCCCAGATAGGCGATCACGGATTTTATGTTTGGAACCCCTTCCGCAGTTGCCATGTTCATAGATGACACATGAGGGCATTTTGCGTTGATTCAGTAGAGCTAAAGAACCCGATGAAGAAACAATCATTGAATGATTCTTGAACACTTTTTGTGGCCAAGACCCAGTGTTTGAACGAACAAGCCAGTCGGTCCAGCGGCTCGACTTGTTTGTGGCGGCTCAAGGAAGTTGTTTTGCGCTGCAGATGTGAACCAGAATGGCACGGTGGAGCCACTTGGACCTCGGAACCGGGTGGTTTCGGGTAAGAGTTGGAAGGGATGCGGTGATGGAGCTGGCCGCGCTGCAGCCACGGAAAGAACCCGTCAGCTGTAAGCTATATATATATGTATATCATAGTGTCCAAGCACTGGTGACGAAAGGGTGTCAGCAACAGAGTTCCAAGCAGTCACTTCTGGGCCTGTGTTCAAGCAGGTTGGATGAGTTCATCGATTTCGTGATGCACGGCAAGCAGGCGGTAGCAAAAGTTCTGCAGGATCCGGGTTCGGGGTGGGCACTGCACTTGCGAACTGCACTTGCTGGAGAGGTTTGGTCGCAATGAGTTGGTGAGCAACCATGATGTAGTAGTGCATGTTTGCTTTCATCAGTCAATGCTTTGCACGTTCGAAAGTCAGGTAAACAACACTCGATAGAGATGTATTCTGATGCATAACATGGTGAAATGCGACTGTTCTTGAAAGAAACTGGCTGGCCCAGCAGGAGCCCCCACAGGGCACACCCACCACTGTGGGTATCAGAGATGAATGGAAGAAGCAAACTTTGGCATCTTGGCACGTCGCAGTGATCATGACTTGGTGGATTGAAGAGAGGAACATGTGGGTTCTCTTTGTTGTTTTGCAAATGTATATCATGGCCAGCTTTTGGGGAGGTCTCCCCTGTATTAAAATACTTGCCATATGGATCATTCTAAGTCATTCGTCATAGTTCCTACAATGGATGCTAAATGGCTTAGCAATGATAGTTGTGCTTAGAGTTTTTACGAGTTCCAGCAGCCTTCAATGGTCCCAAAAGGACTCAGGCTGGGTTGCGATAAAAATTCCACACACTTCCATGCAGATAGTTAGCGCCGTTCTCACCACTCAATCTTTGCAGCGGCCTAGGAGGCGCACAATGCGTATCGAAAGGAACATGGCTCGGCGGATTTGCAGTGGAGCGATGAGTGCTACTTGAGTGCCAAGAAGCAGGCGGCCAGCCGATGCACGGCCCAACGAGCATGAAGCCCTAAGAGGAAGGTACTTGTTAAAAAGCTTCCCGAAGAGTGGCATGGTTTCATCATGTTTCATCCAAAGCTGCTGCAACCACCAGGCGAATGCGTGCCAAGAAAAGTCCGCCATGTTCCATGCGGCTGGGCGCATGTAGCGCGTTCTCGCGGTGCCCGGAGTGCCGGAAGCGCGCGTTATCATTGGTCGACCTTGAGGAAACGTGACAAAGCATCTCGATGGTGAAGCTCGTTTTAAATATATAGTTTGAAGATGTTGGACTCGAATCATCCTAAAGCTTTTGGCGACATGTCATGCTGTTGATGTTGATCATTGGGCTGGCTAGAAGACGCTTCTAGCGCCTAGCTCCGAGGATAATTGCTCTGGACCAAGTGGCAGGCATGGACAGACCCTCGGCATGAAAAGAAAGGGCAAGTGCGGCAATCACACACCCAACATGGTTGCCACATGGATAGGTCTTGTGCGACTCACGCATGGAGAGATGGAGAGGTTTGCTATCCGGAAGCGCACATCCAGTGCCAACCGAAACCGGCAATCAATGTTGGGGCCGTACTTGAATATGGGCACCCATGGGCACCTGGATTCTCAGCAGTATTTTTTCTGGGCTCAGCCGCTGGGCGCCTGATTCAACGTGGTCCCTTTTCCAGATGAAACAAACATAATTAAACCTTTTTCATCCATGGTCAGGTCCGATGCACTTGATTTTCACACCAGACACCCAGCAGGTTTGATGTTTGGTTAGAAGAGTTGGGAAACACAAGTTGGTGCAACCCTGACACCCAGCCGTGCTGGTGCTGATTGGTTCGCTCCTAGATAATCCCCGACTGATTTTGGCAAAAACCCACGCCCTAGGGACAGATCTTGGTCCACTTGTTGGCAGCTTCGGACGCCTCAAACTTTCAGAAGCAAGTATACAAAGGGAACGGAATTGCTGCAAGCAGACTTGTTTGAAAACAGAAGATCTAGAGGCGATTTGCAAGATCATCGAACCACACTTACAAGACCGCGGCAGCTCTTTTGTTATGTGGGCGGGGAATGTTGTATGGATTCACACCAGTTGTAACAACCAGACCGTCCGAGTCCAAGGTGTTTGAGGCAGGTTTTGGACTATGCCTACGCTTGCTTAATTGTTAAATTCTGAACATGGGGTTGCGGACAGGGCCTCTTGACAATCTAGCTTGGAGCAGGAGGAGCAGCCAACCCAATGTGTTCTTGGTGCCCCCCCGAAAATGATCTTGAAAGTAGTGAACAAACACCGGATGGCTCCTGAAAGTAAGCCTTGGAAGTTTTGATGGCTCCCGTGGTCAATCAATCGGAGCAATTGTGACCACTGACCTCGCACCACGGAGCAGCAAGCCGAGGAACATCTTTTGGTGCAGCGCACCGGGAAGCTCAGCTGAGAGGCCGGCGAGCGGACCGATTGGAAGAGGCTGTGATGGACCATATGGGAACGTCTGGGGTTGGGTTGGTACCAAAAGTATCCAAAAGTTCCCATAGATTTAATCGATGGCCTGGCAAAAGGCGGCGAAGATGGCATGTTCCGTTTGACTATATACTGCGCTGGAGGCACTGGAGGCTGTGAGTTTAAGTTGCCATTGGACATAAAAGCAACCACAGGTCCGTTAAAGACGTCCGTACATCATGTGTTTTTCCCATGTGCAAAGTAATGGTTCGTGGCTGTTTCGGGAAGCTTGTGCACCAGACGAAGCCGTGCAAAAGGTCATGAGATGTCTCAGAGAGTTCCAATTCAATGCGGACAGGTAGTGAAAGGTACATCATCAATCCCACAACCCCATAATTATAGTCCAACATAGTCCAACCGTACACGTCCGTTCTTGATTGTCTTGGTTTTGCATGCCCCCAAAAAAGATTTGACAGATTTTGGTCTCGGATGCTTTCGGCAGATGCGAACTCGTGCGACCTTGCCAGGATGGTCAAGGCCTGGTACGATGAAATCGTCAGCCCTGGATACGACTTTGCGAAAGCCACCTTCACACCTGGCACGGGCCACTTTACTCAGGTGGTTTGGAAAGGACCCGCAGGGCTGCAGGGTGCTGTGCTTACGGTGCTTGTCACAGATTTGATTTAGGTGCCGCAATCCATCAGCATGTTCCACAGTCAGGCAACCCACAACATTTGGAGGTTCTGACGATTTCTGACTTCTGGCACTTTTCCATAGGTCACATTAAAGCTCAGCAGCATTCTGACGACCTCGCCATTCTGGCTCAAGCCGGGGTCACTTGGGCGAGGTTCGATCCCTCAATACGGCCATGTTCGAACGTGTGGCATTCATCCTGGCCTTGGCATGGGGTGCTCGGGAGCCAGAGGATGCCTCCATGATGCAAATGCAGAAGAAACCCCAGGCCAAGAAGTTGCATTTCTTATCCATGGGGCGTTCAGGCAGGGACATTCTGGATGACTGTCAGGTGTCCCACATTTATAGTCACATAATGTCATACACATAATATATAACATATGTATATACTGTATATATATATATTGAATTATCTATTTATGTTTCTTGTGTGTGTACTCGCGTCGGGGACCGGATCAGGGTGTGAACATTTGTTTTGCCCAAGCTGAGCATTGAAGGTTTCTGTTTCCCCCTCATGTCCATCAGGATCCTGCTTCTGGGGCGATCTCTTTGGAAATAAAGGGCATCGCCCTTACATATTCGAGCCCTTCAACGGCAATGGCTGGGGCCTGTGGTCAGAGCCATGGCTGGCTGATCAACTGATTTCGGTGATTTCACCCAGCCTCCTTCCAAATCCCTTTGATGTGCTGCACGTGTTGTATTATTTTGTATCTATGCTTGTTGACGGCCCGGCTGGGCCGACGTTTGAAGCTGCAAGCTTCATAAAGTGCATTCCTAGGAAGAGCTGATTCCTCACAAATTCCATGTGGACCTGGCACCTGACGAAGAAGAGCAAGCTGTACGCCGGTCACCTGGAACAAAAACCGGATGGGAGAGGTTGATGCAAGGCAACTGTTCAAAAGTCAGACATCGTCGGATTGTTTAAATATGTGATGTTGTTTATTTTGTTCAATGTGTTTGCTTGATCCTGGGGAGTACGTATCATTTTAAAGTGGCCCTTTGCTTGCCCCCATGCTGAGTTGAGCTGATGGATGATTAATGCACTTGTTACTAGAAGCGATGCACCTATGAAAGCACCTCGTGGATCCAGAGACCGCTTTTTTTGGGGCTCGATGGAGTGATAGAAGCCGAGTTGCAGAGACTCCGGAGCGACTACTGCCAGAGTCTACGGGTGTTGTGCTGAATGTTGGGGCCGATGTCCTAATTACACGTCCTGGCTTCGACCCCCAAGCACTTTAGCCTCGCGACGGCTGCGAGGCTCGTGTGCCTTTACCAATGCAAGGGATGTGAGGGCCAGGTCAGCCAGAAGTTCAAAGAGCGTGTCGACCGCATGTGCAGCGGACAACCGGATCGCAGCATCATCAAGACGGTCGCGCTCTTTAATGCCAGTGGCCCGGCCTTTTCTTTCAATTCGAGCCGGCTTCTCTTCAAGACACACGCATTGCATGCAGACAGATGTAGACCGGATGTAGACCGTAAATATAGACTTGCTGCTTGCTTTTGGAAAAGGGGAGATGACAGAAGTGAACATGAAGATTCTGTTGATGGACAAGGACCCCGTAATAAATGCCAAACGGGAAGCTCCGTGTTTGTAATCATCCATGATGCTCTACCCAGACAGAACAGCTGACATGTCATTCTCTTTAGATCACCCGGTCTCAGGTGCCTCCCCAGATAGACTCATTCCACTTCAACGAGGTACACTCTTGCGGATTCCTTTGGACGACCTGAAAGAGCAGAAGTTCGTGCTGATGCTCCGGGACCCCCGCTCCATGAAGGCCGCGGTCCTGTCCACTCGGGTGAACCGGTCGGGGTGTAAATGGTCACGTGTGGTCACAGGAGGAGTCTATAGACGATCGTTTGGCGGTGAGGCCAGATGTGTTCGACGATCAATGCCTTGAACCTTTCAGATGCTCCAACCTTTTGTTTCGATCCGCGATTGTCCTCATTGGGGTGCCCCCACCGATCATCTGACAGTACAATGCACCAAAAACATATGTTTCAGATTTTTTGATCATCTCACTGGCACTTCCTTTAGCATCTTTAGATCTATGCGCGTTTTTTTGTTTTTCAGCTATGCTGCTTCAGGTATACACCGAGAAGAACCGTTGCAAGAGAGAGTTGGAGCTTGCGCTCACCATCAAGGACTTGGCTGTGGCCGTCGGCAACGACAACGTGACTCGGAATGGGGTCGGGCTTTGGCGCACGACGGGGGGTCCTTTGTTGCTGGGGTTCGAAGGAAAGGGGCCAGGCATGCAGAACTACAGCCATGGGCCATGGTTCAAAACAATTGACATGTCATTGTTTTAGAGCTACAGCCATTGTTTTGAACATTCATGTTTATATAATATATATATATATATAATGTGTGTGTTTGTGTGCGTATGTATGAGATGATATGGATACCTCATGTGACACAGCAAGACTGGCGTTCCCGGGGGTCTTCGGTCGGTCCGTTCCTGCGGCGGAGCACTGGAGCAGGTGCGGACCATTTTCTATGAGCACTGGAGCAGGGACTTGCGGAAGGCCGTGCAAGAGGTGGCGGATTGGGCCAATGTCACCTTCACGGAGGACATGAGACTCGGAACGGACTGGTGGAAAGGGGGTTTTCGGGCGAATCGATGTTCAATAGAAAGGGAACTGTATAGTGTTTACTGTTTACTATATATATCACGAAAGGTAGCGGTTACGCTACCTGAGTTTTCCTTTTGCTTTAGCAAAAATGTATTAACCCAGAGCTGCAGCCTATCTCTCGGAGAAATGGTCCCCGACATCTTCGTTTGCTGGCCGGGGGGGGGGCCCCCCCCCCTTTCAACTCCACCCTAGCGCGCCTCGGGGTCAACCGTTCGAAAACACTGTAAATATCAGTGTTTTCAGCTCTTCCAGTCCTCAGCAGTGACCAAAAATCATGGAATTTACAGCGTTTTTTGTGGCTGTCCGGCAAAAAACACCGCAAAAACCGATGGTTTTTGATGCGTCTCGGTTAGAAAAATGACCGAAAAAAGACCAAAAACCAGGAAAGATTTTGTCACAAAGGGTTTTTGAGGCTTTTGGAGGCTTCAAAATTGCACAAAACTATGGTATTTACAGGGTTTTGTGCACCTTCCCGGCAGAAAACGCCGGTATTTACACGGTTTTCTGCGCTTTTCCAGCGCTCAACCGTGGTGCGCCTTTGGATCGACGGCTACAAAATACCGTAAATACCAGTGTTTTCAGCTCCTCCTCTCTTCAAGCGTGGCCTTAGACCTTGCCGCGGCTGTGGATCGACGGCAACGAAACCTCGTAAATACCAGTGTTTTTGAGCACGTCCTGTTTGCAAGCATGGCCTGCGGCCACGCAATTTACAGGGTCGCCGCACGTCACTATGTAAATCCGAAGTTGCACTTGAGAAATATGTGACTCCTTTTGAAGGCACGTCAACCTGTATTGAAACCGCTAGACCGCTACAGCTTCTGGAGGTTTTGTCAAGCGTTTGTGCACTAGTCTTTCTTTCATCACGCTCACGCACTTCTCTTCAAACAAGTGGGGGGCCTCTCACCTCCTCCCGGATTACGCCTGATTCCCTGCTACCTTTCGTTCACCCCCCTCCTCTCTCAAGTATAGTAGTTATGGAAAAGCACAATATATATATATATATATATACATATATTCAATCATCGATGTTGGACATGTTCGTCCTTATCAACCGGAAGTGTCCCCGGGTACAGCTTGTTTTGCTTGGCTGTCCTGCTGCTTGCAATGTGCTGTCCTGGGAGCCACCACCGTTGGCTTCCTCAATCAGGAACTAGTGCAAATATGAGCAGATCACAATTATTGGCCACAAACCGTTTGTGAAATCACACTCCGCTCGCCTCGGCATGTGCCCACTCGCCATGACTGAGGAAGAATGTCAGCTCGACACGGGAGAATGATGCACCTTCGGCGTGGCTGATGTATGCCCCCAAGGGAACCATGTGGACACTTGGAGAGAAGAGTGTAGGTTTTTGGTTGCCGGGCTGGAATCCAGCTTGCCAGTTCAGTTGTTCAGCTTGTTTAGTTGTTAGCTTGTTTGAGCATTTGAGCCTGTAGATATAATATATATGTGTGTGTATATGGATAGGTCAAGGGATTCTCAACCAAGTCTTCCACTTCCAGCCTTGGTTCTTGGAGGATGCAATCAGGTTTGAGCCTGTTCCGGGCCCTGGGGCCCACGGGGTTCTGGTTCGCATTGCACACCGCATGAGTCGACCGTCCGACCGCAGGGGAGGTTGCTTCGTGTTTGAGGGACCGTCAGATCAGGAGAGCTGAAGACTCGCCCTGGTGCCGACACTTTTTCAAGCTGGTCGGCTTCCTGGCAGAAAGGATGCACATGGATGCATGGTAATGGAGTTCTGTGAGTACAGGACCAACCTAAGCAAGGAAGCAAAGAAAGAACCTAAGGACGGAGGATAAGGCTATTTGGATTTGTTTAGGGCTACTTTGTTGAATTGAAAGCAGTCTTGAATTTCAACATATTTCAACAATCCCTGAATGTTGTTTGAATCTATCCCCAGGGTGTGGCACCTATCAATCCCAAAGGGGAAATCCAGCAGTGAAGGAGTTGGAGTTGTTGACGTTCCAAAGCACCGATTGGTAGAACTTATTTGCCCCGAACCATGGCAACAAAGCAGTTCTATGCCTCAAGATTGGACTGCTATGTTAGGCACGTTTGTGGATTCAGAAGCATTCATTGAAAGAAATGATCTCTTCCAAAGCACCCGGAATTTGGAGTAGTTTAAGTCTTGGCGCAGCCCCAGTCCTATAATCGTTGCTTTGTTTTGCCAATGTTTTCCATGCTTCTCCTACTCCCACCAAGCTAAGTGTTGGCAAAGCTTCATCACTGGGGGTTAGGTGATGTTAGGTGAAGTTCTTTGCTAGTCATCATTGTGCATTGTCCACTGTTACGCAACGATCCCCAAATACACTGAAACGCAGGGGGTGCTGATGCTTCATTTTCCGAGGCTATCCCTTTTCCGCGGAGATTCCCAAGGCGGTAAGTGGAGTGGGAGGGCCCCCGGTGGATCCACAAAATCTTTCAGGGTCACGCTGGTTGTGAGGGGTGGAGGGATGTATGAGCGTCAGGGGTGAGGCTGGCAGCTTAGTAGTAGATGTTGGATTAGACGTGGCTTTCAAGCTGTACCAAAGAACATTAGTCTTGGATGTCGCCGCCATGTGCAGCACTTTGCACGATTATGAAATCTTCTCCTCCTGGTCGTCTGGAGCAGCACATACTGACCCTGTAGACAATTGTCGAGCGGCTAAATAACCAAGCACAGAAGCATGTACTCCGTATGTTTGTTTAAGTGTTTAAGCCGATGGTCTTAGACAAAATCCAGCCTACATCAACCGGCCACCCAACACTGAGGTTTGATGAAACATGATGAAACACCTCATATTAATGACCACCAGTGAGACTCCGAATCATCCAAACCTCATTTCAACTCATCCGAACGCCCCATCCGAACGTGCGCATCGTTTGTCACCTCACCACGCGCATCCTTATAAGTTTCACCCCGTTTCAACATAAAATCCAAGGAACCAAATAATTAAAGCTCAGACTTCTTCAAGGAAGCCCCCCGGCCTCAGGCGGAGGGAGCTTCCTTGAAGACGTTTAAGCTCGTCCGCGTTCTGGCGCCTGCCAAGCGCCTAGCCGACTATTCCGTAGCTATACCACTTGCCTCATCTTGCCGGGCTACCCTCCCCCCAGTACGTATTATCATGTGTATTACCGTAGTATTTATAACATATGTATATATATATATATGTGTGTGTGTCAGTATACATAGTTGTCTACATCTTACTGTAGTATACAATTCATTTTATAACTGCAATCCACTTGTTTTCTACATTGATTGACCCGTGGTCTTTGATTTTTAGACCGCCCAGCCGTCACCGCAGGTGCCGGAGAATTCCACCTGGCAAGAGCGGAAGGAAGCCTTGCCCTATGACACCTTGCGCGATCCGGCCCACGTGCCCATGACGGCAGAGGAGCGACAGATCCTGCAGGACCTGGGCGGGAACGGGAAGGAACGTGTATTTGTCTTTTTTGTGAATTGCCTGTTTGATTTTTTTGAGTTTGGAACGCGGAGTGGCTCGCGTTCGTGTCTTTTCTTTTTGGGGAGAGGCATGGACGGCATGGACACTGTGGGTAGTAGACTTAAGCCAGCTTGAGGGTCTGCAATGTGAGGCAACCATAGACAACCCTTCGCGAGTTCTCTTGGCGGTCAACTAATCAAGTGAAAGTCGCATCAGGTGGTTGGGTATTGCAAGGAGTGGAACATGGTGCATCGTTGTGCAGTTTGCAGCTTTCACCAATGCTGTTGCATGTAGGCCACGTCTTGGAGACATGTGCTTTCAGAACACAATTAAAGTGACTGCAGGTGGCGTTCAGAAGTTTGCGGTTCTCCAAGTCTTCCCTGATTGACAATCCCATCTCCCCGACGTTGATTTTAGGGACGTTCGTTCTGCCACCGACACTGGTCAATCGCAAAGCACTCTGAAGGACATGCACAACGACGGCAGCAGCTTGGATTCAACATTGTACTTGTTCATGATCAGGCCGAATGAACACAGGATGCATCATTTTTCTCTGGCACCCAAACGTAGTGACTCTAATGCTTTGCGGGGCTGCTGACAGGGCTTTGTTTATCCCCAGGTTCTGGATGCGTGCATTTTTCAACTCAGGCACCAGTGCCTGGCTCTGGCAAATGGGTTCTGCACCTGCTGAGCCTTTGCCCGATCCATGGCCTTATACCATGGTTCTCGGCGAGTGGTGAAACGGGAAAAGGGGAGCTTATGAGTGTGGGTTCTTTGAGGAGATGTCGGGTTCTATATTCTTTTGATCTTCGCGTGCGCTCCTGCAGCCGCTCGTGACTGCCAGCGCATGACGTGAGTGGACCTTGGTTGAATCATCAGTTTTGCAGTTTTGGGCACGTCGACCATAAGAGCTCGAAAGCCTTAAAGCTCCAGCTGGGCCATAAGAGTCCAGAAGTCTCCTGTATCAGGATGATTGACCTTGGGAGCTGCCGAAATCTGCGGAAAAGAGACTGCACCCATGATGTGGCTGTAGGTAATTTTCAGTTCGGATGCGAAGATTGACCGATGTTCATTCGACCAACAAATTAATGACCCCTATGGATGGACCTTTTGGATGGTCTGCATCCACCACCCACTGGTTCTCCTTGGTGATGCGCCAGGAAGTACCCACGTCGGCATGGCTTTGTCAGAGGACGGCCGCTTCTGCGTGGCCAACTACTTCCCAGCGGGTAACGCGCGGAGTCCAATCAATCGGTCGGCGCTGATTAATCTCACGTCGGAGCAAGTTGAAAGGGGAGAAAGTGTGTGTGGCACCCTTTGCCCCGCAAAAATTGATAGAACAAAGATGACCAAAGACATTGGAACTGCCAGGGAGCCTCTTGTTTGGTTGGCAACCGTTTCCCTAAGACCATGGGTTTGCACTTTTGTGTCAGTCTTCGGTGGGTATTGGTGTTGAAAGATGCCATGAAGTAAAGCCCAGGGTACCGGATGGTGCTGATAGAAAATATAAATTCACCAAGATTGGGAATTGGCTGTCGGTCAAAACCCGGAGCCCTAAACCCCGGTAGGTTGACCTCCCCAATAGTCTATTCTGTTCAGTTTCTGCTGTCAACCAATGTCCCCCGGTTTTGACCCATCGCCAATTCAGTTCAGACACATGAGAGGTGGTTCACATGGAATTGACCCAGCGAAGTCGATTCTTTCCGAATGAATGCATAACTTCTGACGTGAAGGATGTACGTATGTGGGTTACGGGTTGCCTCCCTACTTTGCGTTGCAAACGCCCGGCAGATGCATTTTGCTCCAGTGGCTTCGCTCATCCCGAGTCTCGAATGAGGTCATGGGTCACTTCAAGGAGAATGTCCTTCCAAGAGGGTCACCATATGTGAAGGAGAGCGTTGATCAGTGCTGTGGTGCGTTTCTGTGTTGGAGTGAGAAACTCTGTGAGATGGAGTGCAAGGGGCAGCCTTTGGCCGTGTGACGCCTGTGTCATGACGCCTCTCTCCCATCCAGCTAGCAAGTAGAAGTGCCATGAATTCATGAAACAACTGGAATCGAAAGGACTCTTCTGGCCAGAATGGGTCTGCAGAGGATGAATAGATCTGTGTGACGGTGAGACTGAGCAGAGAAAGAAACAAGAGAAGGAAGATGGATCCTCAGGGTCGTCGCCGCCTCGGGACGTCGATAGGAGGAGCCCAAGCCCAAGCCCAAAGCGGCGCCCAAAGCAGCTCCAGGACTGACACAAATGCACACGCAGCGATAGAACGGAGCTTCCCAAACTTCATGCAGATGCACTGCCAGGAGCAAAGCGCTACTAGGAGCAAGGACGCTACTAGGGGCTCCTGGCCTTGCTACTAGGACCAGGAACAAGAAGCTACTAGGGTACAGAATCTACCGAGATCACCTTAAAGAGTAAACAGTTGTGCTGAGAAGGTGCACCAAACCACGTCAAATGATAGGATATGATAGGGCCCTGCACCCAGAAAAATTAAAACAATAGTCCGTTCAACTTGGCAAAAACCAACCATAAAACCAACCATGTACTATTGTGATCATGAGGGCAATTCAACCTGCGGTGCCCGTGTGTCCTTTAGTGTTCATATCAGTTGTCGTTCTTAGCTATATAATATATATAACAAGAAGATACAAGAAGAACCCCGGCCAAGGGATTGATAGACCATGATAGACCCACCAACCTAGATATAGAACATTAAGAAACAGCGTCTGAAAAAGACGTTTTTCATCCAATTTCATCTATTCCCAGAGTCATTTTGAATCGAACACCTGTTGATTTCCACCACGACAAATCTGATCACTTCAGCTTTTGCACCAGCCCGAAGCAAGACATTTGGACGGCGCCTTAGGGGTTTGAAAGTAACATTCACAGAGTGTTCTTCGGATTGCACCCGTTGAACACACTTCGGGCGCACCAGATGTGATGAGCATGTGGGTGTTCTTTTTTATGATGGGAGAACCCCCTGGCCCACTGGGTGTTTGTTTGCTTCCCTGTTTCCAGGGGTGTTTGGGAGGTCTCCCTATTTCAATGCACACCCTACGAGGTGATTTTTGTCCTCGTTATCAGACGCCCGTTATCGGTCGATGCAGGAGGTGCTGGGGGTGTCGGTGACTGAGAACACTGAAGAGAGCCACAGGAACATGCTGGGATGATTTATGTTGGATCATTGCATGCTTTAGGTCTCTTTAGGTGGGTGTTTTCTTCGTTGTTTTTTTTCGATGTTTCGCCTTTGAGGTTCAATGTCGACATAGGATTAGTAGCCCCCCCCAGAAGGTCAGAAGGTCTTGGAACGTGTTTGAAACGATTGGGAGGGGTCCTTTCACGAGGAGAGATCCTAAAGACTAAATCTCTTCATGAGGAGATGGCAGGGGAGATGGCCTATCCACTGAGCCTCACTGAATGGGCAAACTGCCAAAGGCATGACCTCATCAATGGGCCAGCATGACTGAAAGGTGTTTTGGAAGGTGCTTGGGGTAAGAGAGGAACAGGAATACCTATTTTAAGTGTTCATAATGGCGATAGAAACTAACTATTGTAAATAGTGCAAACATATATAACATTGACAGTATTATACTACATACGTAATAATAATGTACGCGTACTGTAATATATACGTAATATAGCTAAGGAGCCGGGGACTATGAACCAAGGAGCCACGGAGAGTCCCCCAAATCCTTCCTAGTTATATGTATATATATGTATACAGTAATTGGAAAGGGGTGAGGCTGGGAGTCGGAAACTGTGAATTGTGAAGATTAAAGGATATTAAAGGCAAGGCAATCAAGAAAGCATAAAGCCATACTGATTGGGGGGGTCTGGGTACTCATACTAATAGGGTGGGGGATAGGGGGCTCCTTGATCCTTTGTTTGCATTATTTATGTGCAGTACATGCATCTTGCAAATGTTTTTCCTGCCAGGGTGTGGAGGATGCCAGATATGATAGGGATCGGTAGGAAAGGACAATGACGGTTGGGAAGTCGAACGCAATGAGATCCAAGGAGACAAGGATGTCTCTTCTGCTCCTGGGATTCCAGGGTACAAACTACAAACAAAAGAGATCTAACAGATATTGATGGCGGGTATTGAGATCTACTGAAGCGGCCGGATGTTCTTTCGAATCACGGACATCCAACACCTCCACCATCCCCCCGCCATTGTGCCCACGGTGGCTGAAGGGTTCAGCCAGCGACTCAGGCAAGGTCCAGCGAAAATCAGTGGGGTGAACCTGAAGCGGTGACTGGCAAGGCCAACGATGGCCAACGGCACAAGATGACATCGGTTCGGATGGTTTTGGGGGGCATGTAGTTGCTTGACGGGATCAGTGAATCAATGTCCCGTCGTGGATAATGTTCCTCACCAACTACATGGAGCTGGGCATAGTTACCCCTTGTAGCCTGACGGTCATGCTGGAGGAAGAGAGAGAGAGAGAGAGAGAACTGCTGTGTCAAATGCGACTTGACAGCAACAAAACATCCAGGATCCAGGAAGGTGGAAGGTTGTGTAGAGTGCAGTGCAGATATGTTCAATTTCTATTTTGTGCAGACACCTGGGACTTGTCTGACTTGCTTCTGATTCCGGGAGTGGTTATCTCTTTTGTCGGTCAACTAGGTGCACAAAAAAAAGCCGGTTGGCATCAGTAGTTCATCTTGCCTATTATTGCCGGGGTCAATAAGAATGCGGTTTTGACCCGCAACATGTTGAGACTCAGCAATTTGGTGCAGCGGTCACTGTGTCAGGCTTGGGACTCCGGTATGCGGGCACTTCTCGAGGGCTGCCCCTTCCCCTTCAAGGACAGCTGGGCACAGTTGTGTTCGATCTTTGTGGCAAGGCCAAGGAAGGAAGGTAGGCCAGGTACGGGAAATCACCGAGTTAAGCTGCTAAAATGTTGTCACTATTGAAACGGATCAAGAGCATTTGTAGATCAATCCTACCTCAAGATGTACACCAGCTTCTATTTTTTTGTTTTGCGCTTCTGTACCCTCCAGCCATTTCACAGCGAACATAGCAGAGGACAAGATTGACGCTGCCTTCAAGGAAGGGGCGGAGGTGACTGTGCAGAAGCTTGGTTACATTTACCCGGAGGCTGCCGGAGGCTGGCTGCTTGAAGTTGCTTCTCTTTTTAAGTCCGAAGGATGCACCTGAATGTCGACCATACTACAGCTACCGGAAGGGCCACAGAAAGGTGGAGGAGGGCTAAAGTTGAGCATGAATGTTCAACTCTGGCCAATTTCAGTTCTTCATGCCGACTTTTTGACTGGATGGTTCGGAAGAGAGTTTATGATGACTGTATCACGTGTGCCGCTTGGCCTCACCCACTTAGATTACTCACCCTGGATTTCACCCAGCTCTACCAATGACAGTGAAGCATCAGTTTGTCCTTTTTTTGCGGGCATGCGCGCTGAGGAAGGCCACTGAGCTCACTGGGCCGCGGAAATCCATTGAAGTCACCATCAAGAGTGGCTGCACCACGCAGCGCATGCGTGGAGTGTATGGAGGAGGCTGATTTTAGTGAAGGGTTGACTGAATCAACACGGTTTGGTCAGCCCACTGAGATGGGCCATCCCAAGTCTGGAGAATGGAGTTGTTATGACCATGTGACATGTCTGATCACTTGATGCGCTTTGTCAATCATTTGTCCATTTCTCTCGGCGGTTTGTAGCGCTGGGTGAAATCAGCGCCGGATCGAGGGAATGAGCCAAATGGTTTGACAGCCTTCACGGACTATCCAGACGGAGGGATGCTCCCCCAATGCCGCATGCAGCTGCACTGATGAAGCTCGCCACTGGCGGCAGCCGTGCTTGCTGATTGTGCAGCCTCACCTGTGGCCCCTAGTGCCCTTGTGGCCCTTGCGGCTGTTCAGTGTAAAGTTGAGGTCTTGTAAATCACCTCACGCCACAAAACAAAGATTTGATGTAACTTGCGCCGCTCGAGGACTTTGCTTAGTTCACGTTGGCTTGCCAACCTGCAGATGCCATGGCAAAAGCTGCGGCAAAATGGAGCCTTCTACTGAATTTACACAGCTAACAGCTTCTCTCAAAAATACACACCATATGGCAGTGTCAAGCAGTTGTGTTCATCGCGTGTCGCAGATTGCAGGTCTGTCAGGCTGTGTATCGTTTCACCCCACCCCCGTGCCACGTCTCAAGGCGTGTGAAAAGGACCCGCTCTAGCGACCGATTCTGAGGGAAAAGAACTGGTTTTGACCAGCCCGACGTGCCCGTTTAGAATATGAGAGAGTGAGAGAGGGAGAGGGAGAGCACAGCAACTTGGCTTCAAAAGCAGGGTTTACCACATGTATCATTTATCGTCATGTCTTATGTTTGACGGGGTTGGGCTCGAAGCATCAATTTGCTCCACACCGAGAAAAGCAGGCTCGAATACTCAGTAAAGACAAAGCAGTTTTGAATGGTTGACAATCACACATGCCATGAATAGGAAAAATAGTAGAACCCAAGCAATGAGAATGAATTGGGATGTGTTTGTTTTGTTCCTTCATTTTCGCGCACAGCGTCAAGCAAGAATTTGGTAATTAGGAAACCCAAAACGAGGAAAACAATTAATATTTACATACATGTAGATGTATATGTGTGTGTTCTTCTAGGACGATGTTTAGCTTTTTTCAGGGCTAGACTAGTTAATTTTGTGAGTTGCTTAGCTTATTTTTCCTAATCACACTGTAATATTGTTCACCCCATGTCGTCCCGGCATCATAGACTCCTTTGTACCTCTTTGGGACTGAATAGGGGGCGTCGGTGACTGTTGTGACCGCACTTGTGACACGTGCAGGCCAACATCCAAACATGTCAGACTGGAAGCGTCAAACCCTAGACCCCTTGGCGGCATTTTCGGAGAGTGTTGCCAGATGTTCAGTCTATGCAGGACAAATGCGACGGGGTAGTGGTTGTGTGTTTACACGTTGTCAGGCTCCATATTTTTGCCTAACCCTGGTGTTACCAGTAATATCCGGCAATTATATAAGATGTAGAACGTCAAACTTTGACATTGCATGGTAGCATGCATTCATGGCACGCAACTTGCTTATATTGGATGGAGTGTCTCTGTGTGTGTGCGTGCTGCTCTTGTTTCATTGTTTTGTGGCTTTGCGGATATGATTTTCCTTTGGATTTGGGGCGCTATTCGTTGCCGGGATTTGCCGGGCGCATTTTCTAAATTGGCAGACTCCGGGCAGATGGAACGTGCATACTCATGCCCGCTTCCCGCGCTGAGGATGCGCACAATATCTTCCGGAAGGAGCATGGAGTGTGCGCGTTGCAGTGGAGTGATGAGTGCTACAAAGCCGCCAAAGCACAAGCCAACGCATGTTGGCTGCCAGCACAGAATGCTCGCAACATTTTTGATGCCCTTGTTTGCCAAAAAGCCGATGGAAAACCGGTTAGTGTTTGTAGGCTTACAGTCCACGACCCCCCAAAAAATACACAAAACAAAAACATAAATCTATATTATACTATTATATATCCTGGGATGATATCCTGGGCATCACTTTTCCATGTGCACCTTTTCATTGTTTGACAGGATTCTATGCAGAGGCTGCCGAACCAACGTGTCAGTGTTGTGCAAAGTGCAGTTGGGTTTTCAAAATCGATATGGCAATTATGGCGGCATTTAACAAGCCTAGGTCAAGCGAGAAGGTGTATGTTTCACGACGCTCGGCAGCACTTCGTTGCAACATGAATGTGCAGGCACATGGGCACATAATGGCACATATATATATATATATATCCATCACCAACAGCTCCAGGGTGACTGATTTGATCCGCCAAACCACTGTGCCAAGACGGGTCTCAAATCGAGAACTCGAAGCATTCCGATGACCCAACTGTTCGTTGTCAGTTCAGCCAATAAATAAGGTTTGATAAGACAATGATGGTCCAAAGACACAGCAAGTGAAACGCTGTGCCAACTGATGCCAGCTTTGCGGGTGCAAGCAGACGCGGTGACTCGCCACCATACACTTTGCATAGCGATATGGCCGCTTGTCTTTGGCAGCAATTTCGCCATCGCCCCTCAGGTGTCCGGCTTGTGCAGAATTCCGCCCCGTCCAGCCGTTCCAAGCTTCTTGGGGAAAATCCGCAACTTCTTCCCCGGTCCTTCCGTCCACTCCTGCTGCACTGTGCTTTTGCCTTGCTAGCCTGGCAAGCCAGTTTGTGAGAGGATATCGATATCGGTGCTCATTCGAGCGCGGGTGCTTGTGTAGGGAGGTCCTGATTCCAAACGTGTTACCAAAAACACTTCATGACCTTCAGAGAAAAGGGGTTGAAGGAAGGACTCCTCCCCATTCCTGTACGAGAGTCACTCCGTGATTACCCCAGACTCGCCGCACACGGTGTTTCCGGCGCCATGACTCGGAGCATGTCTCGGAGCTGCCAAACACGTCGGGTGAAACACGTCGGGGCCGAGATTCTCCAGAGATCCGAGCAGGTCGCGACTCCCTCCTTTCTCGCGGCAAAGAGCGAAGCAACTGACCATGGTACGAAGCACCATCTACTCGAAGCATGTCACGACTTCAATCGAAGAATTTGCACCAATTTGCTGTTCCTGAAGTCCCATTTCTGTGCCTTTCAGCCTGCGTCCTTGGCGAGAAACAGGGGGAACCCCATTCTTCCTCGGAGGTGGCAAAGGGCATGCCAACCTTCAGACAAGGCTGATTTCCGTAATGCAGGCTCGACATCTGAGGGCCCTGAAAGCGATCTAGAACGCGCACCGCTTTAGCGGACAGAACGCACACTTGATCATATGTTACAATTGAAAAGCGATGAGCTTCGTTATCGGAAAACTGAATGTTACAAAACATGTGCGTGTGAAGCCGAAGCCCAGTTCAGCCAAGTAAGGACACCCCGTTGATCACTCCAGCGACTCCAGCGCTTGTTTTCGTCCTGAGGGCACGACCTCTGGGCCTTCCGGGGACCATGGGCAAAACATTTACTGGTGCAGCGCCCCTGGATCTTCGGCCCAGGAGTGGCTTGCTTTGCAGAGCGGAATCGACGACGACCAAACCATTCGATTCGGGTTGTTGTGATGGTTTTTTTTTTGTTGAGATTCGAAGCCGTCATCCGACTATAGGCTGGTGAGTTTGGCTTGAGCCAAGCTCAAGAATGGGGCACGTTTGGGTGAACATTTGTGACAGTTCGATGTCAACAGCATCTTCCGTAGTGACCCAACTCAAAAGACCGGGGACGTGTTTTCCAGACCATGTGCTTCATTTGAAGAAGCGCCGAAGAAGCGCCCACTTCCGGACAAGGATGGTGAAGGTGTGGTACGATGAAATTGAGCAGTATGACTTTGGCCACTCGATCAACTGGGCAGGATGCGAGAGACAACAGCTGCATCAGATCGTGGAATCGGATAGAATTCCAATTCGGTTTCGCCATTACCCCCTGTAGTTACATCACTCTTGTCACTTTATGTTAAGGATGTTAAGGCCAATGCTAACCACCATCCTGAACTGGACCGAGGAGAGGGCTATGTGCTAAAAACTGTCCAAACATTCATTCCAATCCCTTCTAGTGCTTGTGGATGCCCTGTTGCAGGTTGATTTGCAGCGGTTTCACTGGAATCAATTTGGGTGAGCCATGTAGGTCACGAATAGACACCATCCCAAACCGGCCCAAACCATTCAACATGGATACGAAGAGCACGGTGAAGCTATGTTTGCTTTCGGTTGCAGAGTCGTGGGATGGAAGCTTGTGTAAAGAGCTTTGTCACAAGTCCGGGGTTGATCAAGGTTGCTATATCAATGTGTTTTTCCTTTGCTTGCCATGAACTCAGGCTGACATGCAAGCTGGGAACCTTTGTTTGGTACTTGGAAAGTCGTTTTGCCACTAGACATGCCATCTACGACTATCTTCCATGTGATGCCTTTGTTTTTTTGTTTGGTCACCTGCTCGAACAGAAATGGATGAAGATTTGCTTACACCTGAATGAAATATCAATCAGAATCAATCAATATCAATCAATGTGGCTTAAAACTCATGTTCACTACCATTCCAAGGCCCTCAGTTCGGCCTTCGCACCTTTTGTCCACCTTTCCAGTTCGGCTTCTTTTCCACGACTGAAGACTGTTCGTCGCTGGCAAAATGCTCTTCACAGGCGAAAATGGGTAGACAGTAGACATGTGAAGTCAATGTCGCAATGGACATGAACACTCTGGACTCTAGAAATGGTCACATGGTGTCATTTCTTTGAACTGTTCCAAGATTCGTCTGAACGTGCTGTTGTTGATCCGAATCTGCGCGGTGCGAGACCGCCATCTCGCGAGCCCTCCGAGGCGCGGCGACCTTTCACGAAGGGACCGGGCACTTCACGCAGGTGGTTTGGAAAGGCGGCTGGGGGGGACGTGCTTTGCGAGAACTCTTCGGAGCGATGGTGGGGCGTGCTTCTTGTCGTGCACCGCACGTGACGTTTAGAGATGTTTAGAGTGTCACGTGCGGTGCTTCATGGTCGGCACAGAGCAACTAATATTGGTCCATTTCTTTCAATGCAGAGTTGGGCACTGATCGATAACTATTTGAAGCTCTTGTTTGCCATGCGCAACGGTCTGAAATGGCATTGGTTTCGCGTCAGGGACCACCCATGTGGGAATGGCTTGCTCAGATGATGGGAGATTCTGCGTGGCGAACTATTTCCCAGCCGGCAATGTGATGGGGCGCTTTCGGCAGAATGTTCTACCGCGAGGCAGTCCATACGTCGCTGAGAAGGACCGAGGACGTGCGGTGATGTTGCGAGACTCATAAGAGTCTCGCATCAGTGCCGCTCCCGGGCTACATGTATGTACAAGCTATGAACTTTTGCGTGTTGTTTCAGTGTTGGAAAGTGAGCTCTTTAGTTTGAAGGTTCTTCAACCTCTCTTAATTACTGCGACAATGGTTATGGCCGCCCCGCCTTGTACACTTTTTCATCAGTGCTATTTAATTGTTTACATGGCTTTGGGGATGTCGGGGAGCTGAAGGAGAAGCCAAAACCTCCTGCACGAAGGATAAGCTGGAGCGGTGTCTCAAGTGGCCCTGGGCAAGCACCAGGAGGTGGCTTAGACATGTGTGAAGCTTTTACTTTAGAAACTTTAGACTGCTCTTTGATGTCAGAAATCAGATCGAATACGACAAGCTTTGTTTAGAGTCGAAGTTTCTGGAAGATCTTAACAGCATTGCCCACGTGGAGTTGGGAATATGCAAGGCCACATTGACTGTCAACTGTGAGAAGCACACAGAATCCGTGTCCCCAATGTTGACCGATTTGCCCTGCCCGCAAGGCTGAACCTTGCCTTACGAACGCTTGCCAAACATGATTTTGATATATTTTGATTGATTTCGTAGTTCGTACATTGGAACAAAACGTTTTTTGCTCCTATCATGGAGCTTCGAACATTGCCATGGGTGATGTCGCAAAGTTTTGGTCAGTTTCAATTCTGCACGTGATCATGAGTTACAAAAACACCCCAAAGTAGCTAAGAAATGAACAGCTTTATCAGCTTGACTTCGGATGCCAGAAGGCTAACCCTTATACGAAGTAGTTCGGCCCCCCCCCTTGCGCTCACCCCAACCACCTTCTTTCACCCCCACCACTACCTGGAGGTAGTTGGAGGTGTAGGGCAAGAAGACTCCTTCTTTCACCCCTTGTGCACAGGCCCACGCCGCAGTGGACGTGCCGAGGTGAGGGTGCATCCGGACCCGGTTTCGGGGTTTTGGGTAGCACAGCTAGTCGTGCATGGCTTCATAAATTTACCGTACCTATATATATATAAGTAAATATAAATATATATTTCACAGTTATAAGTACAAGTCTATGATGTGTGGTTATCCACGATGCACCTACATAACTACGTGAAGAGGTTCGGAAGTCGTGATGATGGTCAAACCCTTTTAGTGAGCGTGGGTTTTATGTTGATTGTGTGAGCTTTGTGCGGAACCCACAGGTAGTGTCCAGGTTTTTGGCAGACACGCCAGCCATCGCTGCTGAACAGAGCTTGAAGCAAAGCTCCGAACGAACTGCCATTCTCAGGCTCCACACTTGAATGACTTGCAAGCCTTTTTCAAGGACTTCCAGGACAGAGCGCTACATGTGCTTTGCTGCAAACCCGCATTTCTTTCTTTCCATATGAAACTAGACAATAGCACTTTGTGAGGTGATGGGTTAGAATACGGAACATAATATGTCGATCTTTTGGAGTCATTTTCTTGGACATACTGCCAAGACACTGTTCCAGCTTGATGTTTTGTGTGGGAGAACCAGGTCCTTGAAGTCTGGGTCTTGAGCAACTCGGATGATCACGGTCTTCCGCAGGACCTCCAGGTCTCCAAGGACACGACCAGCTCGAAGCGGCACTCCGGCTATGGCGGCTATGGCGGTGTGGTGCAAAGCTTTTCCAGAGACCCTCAGCGTAATCAGGATGAGGGAAACTTCAGAAAGGCCCCCTGGTAGAATTGCATCATGTTGAACATGTTGGAAGAAAGTGAAGGAATTTGTTGATGTTGTCATTCATTGCGTTGCGGCTTGTCATTGAAGCTTGTTGATCAACGCTGTCATTGCGTTTACATATACTTTATTTTGCCAATATTGACGTTAAACGTATATTTGTTAAATTCCCTATATACAGTCGGCATAGTGAGAGCTGCGTTCATTCTGCCTATCATCACTGGTGTCCCTGTCAACCATTAAAGTGTAAGCATGCAATCATTGCTGTTGTCATTGAGGCTTGTCGGCTTTGCTACTAGGTGCTCACAAAACAGGCTTGATGAGGTGCGAACACGCTAGTCGTCCTTACTGGAACCAGTTTGTCAATCTATTTCACTTGCTGTAAAATACCTCAGAACTCCTTCCTCAAATATACAACTATCTACGAAGACATGGGGGGAGTCGATGTGAGGCTGGTTTCGGATGAGCTGTGAATGTGAAGCTGTTGAGGTTTTTTAGAAGGAGACGCTTAGACGCTTTGATCCGGAGGAAGCACGGGACACCTCCGGCACCTCGACACGGAGGAGTCGAAGCACTGGTTACGGCGGCACAACAACCACTGTGACCAGGAGCGTGCGCCATGATGGAAGTGTTCCTGGCCTGCATGTGGAAGTGCGTGGTGGTTGATAAGGCGCGCCCCATGGCCAGTAACAGTCGGTAACATACTATCATATACTATCACTATTTTTGAGAAAGGCCTCAACCGCCCTGGTAATGGAATGATCTACCCAGTACAATTGATGTGATGCATGGGCAAACTACATGCAAGTATATACTTGGATTCATTCACCGTCTTCACTCATCAATTGAACAGTTCCTTGTCCACACCCGTGCCTGGCACTCCACAGATGCAGATGTTCCGATGGTCCACCCGTTGCCCGTACAAAACGTCGGCGGCGCGTGTGTTGGTTTGTTTTCTTTCTGGGCCTCGGGGATGCGCTGAAAAGGCGCTTAAGCTCTAAGCGGTTTGAAAAGGTTTGTTTTGGGGAGGTCCCTTGTTTCGTGGGCAAAGCACAGCTACAGTAACAGCAACCCAAGACCGCACGGTTGAAGATGTTCCTTTTCCGCTCCCCTTGAGATGGGCAAAAGCAGGGAGGTTGTCCTCGCTGTCCAGGTTGTGACCACGACCAAGACCACCACTGTGAGGATGGTCCGCGGATAGCGCAGATTTCAGTGCCTCGACCAAGGTAAAACGGTAAGACGTGAGTTTCCCCAGATCCCAAGTAGCTGCATGGCATCGACCCTCCAAGTCATTTGGCATAGACTCAGACTGGCTGACTCCAGCTCAACGCAGTGTACACCATTATATATACATATTTATCATATTTCGGACGTTGTATAGCAGTGCACGAAATCATGCCATGAGCTCCGGCTTTTGGCACTTGACGTTGAATTTCAGTGTTTGTCAGCTGGCACTGGGAAACAAACACATCAAATAACACAAGAGCAGCAGGTCAGCAGGTCATCAAAAAGCAGATACGGCAACCAAACCAATGCCAAAAGACACGCATCCCTAGTGAATACAGGTTTTAAAGGAAAGAATGCAATCATGATGTACCTGTGATGTACTGTACTGTAGCCCAGCGTTCCCTCAACGTATGACAGAATGCCAGCCACATGGTACCAAGCCCTCTAAAACGTTTTTGTTCTAACATCGATCAGGATTGACACAGCAGGCATGAGAACGTCCATGGCAGACGTGTTGATGTGTTGTTTTTCTCTTCTTCAGCATTTCCGAGGGATGATCGGACACTGATCTCGGTGATCGGATGGCGTGACCGGATGACTGAACGGTATTGTACAGAACGCCCCTCGTTCCTCGGTCAGACCGAGAACCCTTTTTTGGTCCGTGCCGAATTCCGGTGCTCCGGTCCATGGGCATCGGTCAGCCCCCAGATGAAGCTGGCCCCCCGACCTGCTTGGGAGCACGGCGTGATGGGCGGGTTTGCTCGTCAGCACGCTCGGAGTCTCTTCAACCAAGCACCTTACAGAACTTAGTGCGGCTGTTCTTCTCGACTTGAGGCTTGAAGACGCTGAGAAAAAGTGATAAAGTGACAGATCATCGGCATCGTTGAATGTCATGGGCTTAGGGCTCATTGGTTCTGTCAAACCCAGTGATTAATAGCAGTAGCACTTCACTTCAGTTTGTCAGGGGCGGCCTCAAGAACTCAGCCGTAGACTGACAAATCAACCACCCGATGCAGAGTCCAGAGGTATACTGTTAATATGGACGTGGCTAGTCTCACTTGGTCACGACTTATCCATAAAACGTGAATGTATAGTATGGTCCGGTCACTATATTTTATTCCCCATGCAATCTTTAGGTTTTTGGCTTGAGCACCCCAGGACTCCAGATTGATCCACTATTATTTCGGAGAGGAAGCTGGCAAACTCTACCAATCCAGCAGCTTATATACATGGTTTCTGGACCTCCTAGTGTCAGTATTGAGTTCATTGCCGTGCCTGCTGTGCCAAGTAGGACGTGAGTGCCCCCCGGTTCTAGGCAACATCATGAAATCTTCGCCCATTTGGATGCATTTCTTCGCGACTGGAAACTTGTGCATGAAGCTCTACTCTCCTGTGCTTGCTGGCGTGATGCTCCATCAGATGCCTTGCTGGCGTACACACATGATCCAGTGCCTAAACGGGCGGGTGACTGTTACTACGTGTACGATCCATTTACTGTGCCCGACTGTATGCATATTCTTTTGTGTGTGTGTGGGTTCCAGATCAGATCATGGATCAAAGATTCAAAAATATTGGTGCTTCACCGCTTCACCGGAAAATGAGAGGCCAATGACTTGGACCGCCTGTTGCGTGGGCCCTCAATGTTCAGCCGACGGTGGAACCAGGTTTGCTGATTTGGTCCTGGAGATTGCTCCGGTTTGTTGGGACGCTGCAAGTGCTTAAGATGCTGTGTAAACAGTGTAAATACTGTAAATATGGAATACAATTGCAGTGTAGTCAATATGATTGGTTTAAACACTGATCACAGCGACCTGGCGCTGCAACGACTTGGCTTTAGCACTTGCTAGGTTTGCCGGAGATGAGGGGATGCTATCACTTCCGTCGGGCACTTATAGTATAGCTCTTGAGCGTTTGCGAGCTACAACAAAAACACCGAACTCAATGTGGCTTTTGAACCCGCTTGGTGTTGCTTTGCGGCGGTGGTTCTGCCTTACCAGGCCTCACCGTTGAGAAGACACCGACCAGATAGACGGCGGGTCCAACACCGGTCACCGGGGCCGAGGCCAACTCCACCCGAGCTTTCGCCCAGTAACACTGTCCCTGAAGGCGCTGGGAAGTGTGACAGTCCACACCTGCCAACACCGGACGGACCCACAAATGGGCTTCACACATGGCTTGAAGGACGTTCTGGACATCACACATGACGCTGATACGAAGTATACAGGAGGTTTCTGTGACGGGTATGGTGTTGTTGTTTTCTCCGACGGTGATCGGATTTAGTCCTCCTTTTATTACCAGTAAGCGATGTTATGTTTATGTTTGTGTCATTTGTTTCATGTGGAGTCATTGTTTGTGAGATAATTTGCAAACAAATTGCCAAAATCGCCGCCGTCCTGTCATAAACTAGCGATTCAAGCCCAACTTGAAACGACGCAGTGGTTCGACCACCTCCCCACTCAGGTGGTCAGATCTCATTGTTTTTGCTCGGATCAAATGTGTTTCACGGTTTCATAACTGTTCCTTCTCCCCCTGATCCCGCCTTTGGCACCGGCCTACAAGCGATGCGATCGGCGATCAGTGCACGGGCGGATCATCGGAGCCGCCCACGGCTCCGTGGGCCGCCACAAGGTTTCCAGAACATGCTAGGATTCTTCTCGGGACATTGCCCAAAAATATGGCAAGTGACACGACAATGCAGACAATTGTACTATGGGGATAGGGATCTATACGCCGGTATTTGTGGGTATCCATGTGCAGATGTCCATCGACACACGATTGATTGTTGAGGCGCTTCGGTGAGTGCCCCACCCGAGGTCGGGCAGACGTGGTATGAAGCGGGGGCTGACCGCTTTGACAGCATTTGGATGCATTTGGCAGCTGCTTTGTTCATGTTTGGGGGTTTCTGCAACTTGACTGGTAGCATGTAGTTTCTGGTGTTTTGCACTAATTACAGAACGGGTTGAGGGACACTAGGACCATCGTGAAACTTTGTCAGTGGTTTGTAGGTTCAGGAGCACCAGGATCACGTGAAACATCACGCAGGCTGGAAGAGAAGACTTCAGAAGGCCTGGTGGTGAGCCGGAACCCGTGCCGAGATGCACACATGATGAGGCACAGCAAAAAGGAGTATTTGCCAAGGGGTCCAAGAACCTGGGCTTGTTGACATCACGAGTTTGCTCAGGGAATATTGGATGCTACTGGGCACAAGTCTATATGAGCAACCACTTTTATTTAGGCTTTACTAAAGTAGTCTACGGCATGCTCTATTTTCTTGTCTATCATCCGTATTCGCTTCTGAACGAGATAGGGCCCCCACATAAACGAGATGCTTTTGCTTGATGACACTAAAGTAGTCTGAACGAAATAGTGTGCATAATAGATACTGTATTTGAGATTAGTACCAAATAAGTGCCGCACATATGTGGAACCACTGACTTCTAAAAGATGGCAATGCCTTTAACACTTTGGTATCTTCCCTCAGTCCAAACCGACCGGCTTGGTCAATCATGGTCTCACCATTGGCAGGTCATAGACATAGGTTTTTCTACAGGGTCCGATGGGAACCCATGGTGATCCGACCGACTTCTCAACGTTTGAAGCTGAGCAGGTCGATGGGAAAGCTCCGGGAGTTGCAGGACCTTTCGTTGGAGTCTTTGCGCTTGGGGTGCCCAGAAGAGCACCAAATGGCCGCAAACGACATGGGGTGGTGAGGCTCCGAGCTGGAAGGGAAGGGTGTTTCTATATATATATATATGTGTGTGTGTGTGTGAAATATGTATATATATATATGTTATAAATATATAGGTTGCATATACATATGATATGCTTCTATGATCATATATGCATACATCAGATATCAATAGATATCAACATGTTTTGTTTTTCTTTTTTGGAGTGCTGTTGTCCCTGCTGACATGGTGAAGTGCAGATGCGGAACGACACTTCAGGTGAGGTATTGGTGTGGCTTTTTGTGTTGCCCAGGGACCTGCTAACACTTGGCGTTTGAAATGGTCCATTTCGTTTCGGATCCTTCCTGGCTGTGTTGCGTTCCTTTTGGGGGGTCCTATGTATTTGGATAGAGGAGGCTCCCAAGGCTCCCGGCCCGTGGCCAGCGGACCCCTTCAGGTCGTGCCCAGCAGAAGCATGCCTTGGGACATCGGAGGGCGAGGGCTTTGCCCGGGTCCACCCGGGCGAAATTGCGACATGACACGGATGGTCGGATGGTGCGAACACAAGTTGTTCCAAGCAGCCATGGACTAAGAGACCTAAATCTCTCTATAACAAACATCTGCCGCTATATCAACATGCGCAATGCCAGTATGAGTGATTTGCTGTTTATGTCCTAAAGGTTCAGTTCGGCTCCGTGAAACCCTCGCCTCAATGATGACTTCTCCAATCTTTTTTTAGTCAGGGATTGCTTGGGAGAAGGATGTGAGGACAGGGATGTGTTTTCCTCCAGGGCACAAACGGCCGCACGGCCGCAGTGCAGATGTTCCATGAACAGGAAGGAACGACAACCCTTGGTACAGCGGCCGTTCACGCAGCCTTTTGGCACAGCGCCACACGATCATGGAGGACCTGTTGGTGCCATTAGGGGCATGGAAAACAAATGCAGCTGGTTTTAGGACATCACCAGCATGGCTGAAAGGCTTGTGATGCCAGATGTTTAGGATGTTTAGGCTGGAAATAGGAAATGGGATGATGGACAACTCAGGTGTTCAACAAATCTACGGTGCTCAAATTGTTTATCATCTCAGAAGCCATCAGGTCAAGACACGGACGTTCACTGCATCGCTCACGTGACCCACTTATCGCTCGGTGGTGCAATGGTGAGAGGTCATCCTTTGGACCAGATACCCGGCAAAGAAGTTCTCGTATGTTCTCGGCCATTTTGGTGCAATTGGGTGCGAAAGATGACAGAGATGGCCAAGTCTCTACTCACTGAGACGGCAGAAAAGCCCAAAGCACAACTTCTGGCCGGTGTGCTTTCCACACTGGACCATGTCCTCCAACGAGTTGGGAGTTGATTGCTTGGAATTGCTTGGAAGGTTGTGCATATTGGTTGCCCACTTGCCCGTGCTTTGTATTTTTGGGGCCTTGTGCATTGTTAGGGCATTTGTGTGTTGAGAATAACACTGGGGCTCACGGATCATATGGATCGGTTAGACTTTCAGTCGTCATGTAGAGTGGCTGGCTGGCTGCCACAGGCTTGTGTAGATCCTGAGAAGAAACCAAGCTGAATCCCAGATGGTGCTGGGCAGACTATTACGCTGGCAAGTGCCTCCCCACGACGCCGCTTTTTAGGGATTATCGTTATAAGTTATAAGGGTGTTTGGACACCCCTTGGGGGGGCCCCTCCAAACACTAAAGGGCATCAAAGGGCCACGTCCCTGGTCACAGTGGAGAAGCGGAGAAGCCTTGATCGGGCCATAAGGCCATGGAGCAGTGGGATTATCGCACGGCTGCAAATCTCCTGGCTTTGGCCGATGCTGAAGCTTGGTGAATTGGGATGGTCTAAGAAGAGGCTGGTGGAAAAGGAGTGCCTCAGTAAGTTCCCCAAATACTCCGGATGGGGGCGCAAGTGCTTGTTCAACTTGTGTGCGGTCAAAGTCTTGTTCCAAAAGCCTGCAAGCCAACATGATGACAACCATGCTGATTGAATTCATTTGAATTCCCGCTTCGTATCTCTTTTTTGTGTTCCTTGTGGTTGTCTTAAGCACTGAACCTACACCGTGTGCCCTCACCGCACCCAATGTCACCGTCATGTGCGATGCTTCACCCATGCTTTAACCCCGTTGAAATCATTCGAATGTTCTTCAACGATGCCTACGACAGATCAGGGTCATCGTCCGCGGATGTTTGGGCGCCAAGGACACAAGGTGTTCGACGGCCGTTGCAGGTTGGACCGGCTGTTGCTGTCGACGGGCGACGGGAGTTTTGGCGAGTTCCCCTACATTTCAACCACTCGCGGTGAACACATGCGAAGACTAAACAGGAAGACCATGGATATAGCTGAGACCTGAGATTTTACCTTCCGAAAAGCATGGAAGTGCCAAACACCGCTGTTTGGAGAGAGTTGGGGGTAGGGGGTCATGTTCCACTAACCATGTCGTTTTGCAGGTCCAGTGAGTCCGTCAGAAACCAGAGACGATGACTTCCGTCCAGTGACCGACGTCCCAAGCTCCAGGAAGGTGATATTTGGCCAGTGCCCATGGCATTGACGGCGGACAAGGTCTCTGAAGACATTGCACGGTTTTGGAGCAAGGAGCCATGGCCATGGAGCGTCATGTGGGGAGCTGGATGCTCGAAATCAGGCGGTTTCTATAGAGATCTTGGAGCAACGCGCGCTGAGCGCAGACGACTGCAAAAGGAAGTGGGGGCTTTTCTCTCATTTTCCAACTCTGGTGCAGGTGAATCATTGAAGACCTAAACTTGAACGAATACGTTCTTTCAAAAACAGCAATGGAGCATCAATGCGCTCCATTCTAACAAAATGATTGCCATCCCGCTGCAAACGTGGGAGCTTCGGCCAGAACTCCAGGTAAGCATCTTCGGACTCTTTCCTGCGTAGGCGTGCGTCTCCCAATTTTTACAAGGTATATAGGTAACCTTTCCTCTACCAGCCCCCTCAAGTGTCCTTTCAATTCCAGGAATTCACTTGTGTTTGATGCATGATGGTGCATGTCAGTCAGGATCACTCAGCACCATTCGTTGCATTTTGGAGTGCAGGAGTGCCCGCATGCCTCCCAAAAGGGACCCGCACGCCCGGGCGTCAAGCTGATGCTCTTTCGCTCCGCTCGGTGGTCTTGCACCTTGGTTGCTCTATCTTTGCTGAAGGTGGAAGAGGGCCCTTGGGTGAATAGGATGTATTGATGTGTTATGATGTGGTAGTGCTTGCCTGGCAAGCATGGCCTAGTAGCAATGGCTTGTGGAAGAGGACGTGTGCTGACCCACGCATTTTGCCCACGAGTTTCTATATGCGATTTCCGAATCTAAATTAGGGAATGGAGCTCCTGGATGATATCAGAGACCCGCAGCACTCGATGAATAGAGCGGAACCCAATGTGTCAAAGCTGAAAGCTGGTATCGGACACCGACGCGAGAAGTGCCTGCATGTGTTCACACGGTGCATTCGAATGAACCTTTGCTTGCAAAATTAGTTGCACAATTGCATTCCAGTCGAGAGAGAGAGAGACAAGGCGATTTTTGGGGTGTGGTCAGCTCAGGCAAACCAGTGGACTTAATGTAGCTTTAGATACAGTAAAAACATGTCAAACACACACATATATATATGTATATATATATTATATATAATGGTTTTGTTTTTAAATGTGTGTTTTTGTTTATTAGTTGATTATTTTGTTCATGCCGCATGGGATCATCAACTTGTTGATGCTTTTGTGATGCCGTGATAGAATTAAAGAACCCTTGGATAAGCAAGGCAGACCTTTTTACAACAACCGTTTAACCTTTTGCGGTTGAGTTTAGGTTCATGACAAGAACCAGCTGAGCTGTTTAAGTTTATTGTCAAGCGAGGTGTGCTTTTCTTCATTTGCAGCATCCTGTGCAGCTTGGCAAGAGCAAACGATCTACCCTGAGTCGACTGTTCTCGGGCTCGGGCTCGGATTTTGTGTACTTCAGCTTCACACCGATTTGAAGCGGAGACAATTTGAACCAACCAGTACTTCAGGGATTTTGGGAGCCATGTGGAAGGCCCTTCCACCCGTTGCCCTATAGCGAGAAGGGGGATGATTCTGCGCGCCCATTCTCCTCCTGGGGATTGCTGTCATTCTGCAAAGTTGATGGACAGTAGCTTTAGACTTTACACATTGGGGCCTCCACCAATCCAAGTCCAAGTCATTCACAGATGGGAACAGGACTAGCATGACAAGATCAGGACTTCCTTTTCAAGGAGTTTTTCGGTGCAGTTATGATTTTGTTGGGCCTCCCGAGCATCGGGATGAATGATGACTGCTCCACCCCATGTCCATCTCAGGCACCATTGCCTACGCATAGCCCTCGGTGGTTTGCGCAAGTGGGCATGGGAGTGCAATAGTTGGGCCACCTATCCGTGTGAACCTGACAAATTGTAAGTTTAAACACCAAGTGACCAAGGGTATATCTATATATACATAGAGAGAGAGAGAGAGTTGGATAGCAAGTCTATTCATTTCCCATAGCAACACAACTCAACATACTCTAGCATTCTTTCAACACTTGGGGGTTTGTACTCCTTTCTTGAACCAGTCCCGGCAGGCAATCACTGCTGGGGATTTGCTGGGTTTTGTCGATCCCTTCATGGTTCAAGCAGACAAGGCGGAAGAGAGACGAAGAGCAATTCTTCGTTTATCAAGTGTAGCTTGTTCCCATAGAACCCCCCAGACAATGCGTGACAGGAGCCAGAATCGGGCTCGTTTGGATGTTCATTTTGCCCGCAAGGTTTTGACCTCATATAAGCCGCTTTTGGGGCGTACATTTGATACACATATGCAAAGACACACACACACACACACACGTGTATATATTATACATGCACGCATAACTACACCTCACCTTGGTGACATGGTTGCCTCAGTCTTCTGTCAATTTCAATTCATTTCCGGTTTGCCAGTGACGTGAGTGTTAAACTGTATTAAATTGCATTGCTGCAAACAGTCCATGCACTTGTTGATAGCCAATGCTTGTCGTCCATGGCCGAGGTGGCTGCACCGATTTTTCTGCGGAGGATGCTGGAAGAACTTGGCAAGGCATTGGACCGCCGACCGTGCTTCACACCCCAAATGTTTGGGCTCAGCCTGAGCCTTGGGGGAGTTGATTCCATTTCTTAAATTTACTGAGTTGAATATATATATATATATATATGCCTTGTCTTGTTATGGAAGCCCATCTTAGATCCAAATATGGTGAACATGCGTCGGGTTTCTCAAAGGAACTCCCTCTTTTTTTCCGCTTCAGTGACATTAAAGGACTTTGTTGGTTGGTCCTTCGGGCCGTTTCGCTCTTTTTGCAGCCCATTCGGTTTTGCTATATCTTTACCCATGGGTTGGCCTGATGGGTTCATGCAAAGCTCATGGGCCAGCACCTGACGATGTGGTTCATGAGCATCACAGTTCTTACTTTCAAAGCCTTTGAAGAGGCTTTGAAGCTGATGGTGAGTGAAGCATTCCATGTTCCAAGTGCTTCTAACGGCAATGTCATTGCCATTCCTTGGAACTACCGCAATTCCGGGCCGTTCGGAGGTTGTGCCGATTGATGTCCACAAGCTATGTGTTGCCAGGACACTGCCTCTCCTCGCACTTTGCTTCCCTGGGGCCTCGGCTTCAGCTTTTGCTTCGTCCGGACTCTGAGCAGCCAGGGGAATCCGCGAACGACAGCGGCATTTCATGGTGCCTCTCCTCTAGATCCTCTATAGATTCTAGGTCATTTTAGAGAGTAATTGAACATTTCACGAGGTCTACATGATAGAGCACATGGTTCCTTTTCGATGTTTTTCTCCACCGCACAGCAGAAAGTTGGACAAGCTGCCGAGTCCGTTGTGTCAGTTCCGCACCCCGCGGCAGACTCGGCACACCAGTAGGCCGCGGCCGAAAAACGGCGCTGGCTCGGCGCGTGCGCCGCCTCGCGCCATGGCAAGCAAAGAAGAAGATGTGCAGATGATGCCTCTTGGTCACCAAGATTTGGATGGAGATGGAATTGGAAATAGTAAATGCCTCATTGGCCCGATAGCCTCAGCATGGTCAAGATGCCACCTTGGGTGGGTGAGCGGAAGTGAGCGTGGGTCAAGTTTGACTTCGGCGTGCCAGTGGCTGGATTGTGACAGTAGTGATAGCCAATGACAAGTATAAGTGCAGTAATTCCCACATATATGCAATATATGCATACACCAAAAAGTGGCCTCCATATATGCATACAGTATATACGTATATATGTATGTATGTATGTGTGTGTGGGAGGAACCATATCACAAAGGAGACGGCTTCAGCCTTCAGCACCAACCACCTGTCGAGATCAATGCCCCAAACCGCCGGCATTCCCGAGGAAGTAGACGACTCCGCGCCCCCTGAGACTTGTGGATTGCCCGCAGACGAACGACCCTGAAGACCACCCAATTGTAGAGGAAACTCGTTTTCAAGGCCTTGCTTCCCTCGGTGTTGGGGACTCGAAAGCATACTGTAGCTAAGGGTCTACAGAAGGACTAATATGGGAGGGTTGGACTTTTAAAAACATAATATCCTGGTTTCATGGACCTGCCATGACCTACTAGGAGCAAGGGCATCGCTACTAGGTCCTGGCCTTACTACTAGGAGCAATGTTAAAAAATAAGCTATTTAATTTGAGATCCTCTCACGAGGCTCCCAGATACTACAGAGATGATTATACGGCCATGGTCAGAAGAACTTCTATGGAACACCTTGGCATGTTTGATTGTCCAAAGGCAAACAAAGTGGATATACCGTAGCTGGTTTTGCTTAGCATTGTTGTTTTCCCTGTTGGTGAACCCCCTTCTCGGGAAACTTGCTTGTTTGTCCCGGTTCCTCCATGTTCCTCCTGAGTGTATCATACGTGACTCCGTGGTGACCCCTCACGGGCCCTTTCCTCCGGCAAAAGATGCATTGTCGGATGAACCATGCTGACCCGTCACAAGCTTTCGAAGATGACATGTTCGTGTCCAAGCGGTCGACATTTATCTCATATCTCATATCTTCCCATTGGTCATCCACTGGTCCACCGAGGTTGGTTTGCAAGACCCACTTGGGCACTCGCAACATCGACTACCGCATGAAGCGCTACGTCTTCCGTCGCACCGTGGACGGGATCCACATCATCCATTTGGGCAAGACGTGGGAGAAGATCCAGGTCGCGGCTCGCCGCCCGGCGGGAGAGTTCATGTGCCACAATGGGCCACATGCATCTTGATAGAACGTGTTTTGGTGATGAAGAGCCGGGGGCGCATGGAGTCTGAAGACTCTAAGGTCGAAGGGTTGAAGGACTCCATGTGGACATGTAAGGACTACAATACTCAGTTTGTTAATTGTTTTTTTGTTTCTGGGGCCCTCAGGTTGGAAGCTTCCGTCGGTGCTCTGGGTAGGAAAACCATTCAATCCGCCGTGGCAATGTCCAAAGCAGGAGGGTGCCACAATAGGTTGGGGTAGCCGGGTAGCCGGGTAGCCCAGGCAAGACTATGCCAACACCTGAATCCACAGTGTCTCCTCGTCGTTTGGATGGTGGTCCATCCAGGGAACCCCACGATGACGTCGGGCACCCATGGAAACACGTGAGACGCGTCTCGCGACCTTTGCGGAGGGTGGACCGTGGGACCGTGGGTGAACGGTGGTGGACCGGTTTGGTGAATCACCTGATGACCCACAAGAGCAAGTGATGGTTGTAGATAAGTGGGTGTAGTCCGTGGTCTGGTGTGTCCAATGACCCCAGGCATTATTGTGGCCATTGAGAATCCTCAGGACCTGTCGAGATGGTGGAATTGAACATGAACAAAGCATAGGGGTGGCTCGATTCGGGGCTTGTAGGGCTTGCAGTACCTGCTGCTTTATAATTTGTTTGGGTGATTGGTTATAGACGTGAAGAAGAAGAGTTTCTCTTTGCAGCAGGGGTGTGAACCGCAATACTGTATACATCCTCCTATGATTCAAGTGTGGCAAGCTGCCAAGCGAGATTAAGACCTTGTTGTTTCTATTGTATTGTATCCTTTAACATCCTTTGACTTTAGAATTGAGATCTGACAAGTCTGGCAAAAACAATATTCAGAATATATATATATATATCTAACAATGTTCATATATTGTTTTTTAGTATAACTGTCCATTGTTCTAAATGAAATCGATATGACCAAATTCATTCAAACATCGTACACATCCATAAACAAAAATGACCCCAGTGTGAAGTTTGCTGTGCAGGACCGTTCGCATAGCATGTCATGGGACTGATGTCCCGGCGGCCATATCGGCCTAGGTGCGCACAGAGCCATTGACCTTTAGCTTTGGCGGAAAAGCCAGCGTTCGCGTCCGCTTCACTTGCATGTCAATGCACACATGTAAGTAAGTTGGCGCCGGAGCCTGCGCCATGGAGCAGTACACGCTGCTTTCTGAGGATGATTCAGCCTCCCGCTTCGAGTGGGGTCCGGAAGAGCTGGATGCTTTGGAACGCCTGTACGCTTCAGTTGATGATCCAGGCCAACCTTCATCGTCGAGCCCACCAACTCCGTTGATGCGTTGTTTACGGTGCAATACCCCTGTACAACAGCAGAGCATTGTCCCTGGCTCCAGTTGTGTTTCTTGCGGTTTTGGTGAGTTTTACAACGTTGCCGAGCCGACAAGGCAAGCTACAGCAGAAGGAACTTGGTTGTACGTGCCGCACGTTGACAGCAGTCCCGTCGATCCTGTCCTTTCACCTTCTGCCCGGAGGCCTGCAGTTGAGACGCCGCCTCCTGCGCGGGAGACTGGTGAGAGTGAAGAGCCGACGGATGATCCGTCGGTGGTTGCGCCTTCGTCGACCTACAGCTGGCCCAATGTTGTTGAGTCCGAACGGCAGTCGACCACCTCCTCAAGACGTCGAAGAAGGAGAAACCGCAGTGTTGTTGATCCTCAGCCGCCACAACCGGATGTCGCTAGCCCCAGGGCTCCATCGGCTGCAGGATCGAATGTTGAGAGACCATCCCCATCGAGATTGCCTATGCCTTCAAGGTTGCCAGGTACAACAGTTGGTACAGTTGCAAAGAGTTCAAATGAGTTGTTGGAGGTCATGCGACAGCTGCTTGATGAGAAGCGCGGATCCGATCGTGCTTCGCAGGGTAGCTGGGACAGTCGCCGTGGCCCCATTCCTGGCGTGAAGTGGAAGGGCGGAACACCGCCGGCACCTCCACGTTGGAGTTACAACAGCTCAGATTTGCGAGCGTTTTCGAAGTGGGAACGTCGTGTTCAGGTTTGGAGGCTTCAGGTGCAGAACCAGTTGACAGGTGCAGAGGCTGGTTTGATTTGCCAGTTTGACTGGCGAAGCTGAGGCTGAAAGCGAACACATGTCGCTCGCCAAGGTGAACTCGAAGGAGGGCGTCGAGTACATCATCTCGTGCTTGAAGGGTCCATTGGAGCAGAAAGTTCTGTATCAGAAGAGGTCCCTCCTTGCAGCCTATGAGACGGTGGCTCGAACCGAACCCCGCAGGAATCAGTTCGACAGTACATCGACAGGTACAAGAGGATCGAGCGAGATCTTCAGACGGTTGGCATTTCAGCAGGTGCAATGTATGATTCAGAAAGCCGCGGCAACAGACTTTTGGAGCGTTGCAAGCTTGAGCCATCGTTGTCACGATTGGTGTTGATTGGTGCCCACAACAGTTTGGATTTTGATGCAATTGTTGAGAGTTTGCAGCTTCAATTTCCGGATTTCAAGCAGACACCATCCATCTTTCAGAGCAACAATTGGCATAGCAACAAGCAGCCTTCAGGTTACAAGCCAAGCGGCAAGTCGCACAGTGGTTCATTGCACTCGAGCTCAACCACATCAACAGTGCCCTCATCCGCATCAGCCTTCAACCGTGGGAAGGGGAAGGGCTACCCTTCCTATCCGAAGCGTGTGTACCAGACCGAGCAGGTCGCTGAGGAAGATGAGGCTGAGCCGGAATTGCCGGACGTTGACCCGGAAGAGTTTTATGAAGCAGAGGAGCCACAGGAACAAGATGATCCCGAGCAGGAGGAAGCAGAGCCCCAGGACGATGCAGATGAAGCATTGCACAACCTTGCACAGGTCCTCACTGTGACTTCCAAGAAGCTGCAAGCGACTGTGTTGGGACGCAAGTTCACTGGCAGACGGTCGATCGAAGATCGAAAGCGGTCGTCTTCATGTGCGGCTTGCGGTGCAATGGGACACTGGGCCGGTGACAGCATTTGCCCCGTGTCGAGCAAAGGGGGCAGCAGCACTTCCAAGGGATCAGGGAAGAACCAGCAGAAGGGGAAAGACAAATCCAGGTTTTCAGGTCAGTCAGCATCCTGCTCGACTACCACCTCATACCCAAAGAAAGCGTTTGTGGTCAACTTCGGGGACGAAGATCAGTATGAAGATCCACCAGGGCCTGAGACCTTTCACAACTTCCCCACCAACCTCGTCGAGGATGATGCCAACCCTTTTGTTTACATCACGGAAGCCATCGATTTGAGTGGATACATGGTTTTAGATACTGCCTGCCAGAAGTCTTGCACAGGGGAACGTTGGATGACCACCCACTCCAAAATCCTCCAGAACCACGGGATGCAGACGGTTCGTGAAGACTGCTCGGACAAGTTTCAGTTCGGTGCAGGTACAACACAGCAAGCAGCAGAGCGATGCTACTTCCCCATTGCATTGCCAGGTCAGGAGACCCAGGGAGTGATTGTTGGTGTCAGCGTTTTGCCATTGAACATCCCGTTTCTTGCAAGCAGAGTTTTGTTGGAACAATTGGGCAGCATCATTGATTTGCATCATTGTGTCTTGCATTTTGTGAAGATTGGAGTTTCAATTCCTTTGGTTCGCAAGCATGGTCACATTGTTGCACGTATCACGGCATTTCCACCTCAGTGTTCACAGATGATTTGTTGGGATCAGTTGACTGACAGTTCATTTTGGTCGAAGCCGTCGCCTGAGCTTGTCATCCACCCGGAAGCCACGATCTCTCAAAGTGGCTCAAATTCGATCGCACCTACGCTCGCTCATGCCTCAGTCGTCCACCAGACAACCACCGGAATGGCTGACCCGGTGGAGGACTTTCCTTCTCCGGCTCCTGATGTTGGAGCTGAACGTGTTCAAGATGATGAGCCGCTTGGTGCGAGTGGGCATTCGTCCACGTTCATGGCTGACCGCCACCGAGGCGGAAGAGCAAAAGAGCCAGCAACTCCTCAAGATGGCCAAGCCGAAGCCCTCTCCGAAGACATGCTCACATCCGGCCTTCCAACGGTACGGAAATGCTCACGGCAAGTTCGCACGATGCAAGAGGTGCGACCAGAGGTTCAGATGGATCAACGAGCAGGAGGCCTGGGCAGTATACTCACCAAAGTCCTCAAGCTCATCACAGCTGCCATTGCCGTCACAGGCTACCATCCTGACAACGGAAGAGATGTGCAGGCTGTCAGCTACAAGCCCCAAGAGCAAGGCCACTGCCAAGAAGTCCAGCAGCTTCGGCAGGAACAGCCAGGCCCACCAGTTCACCTCAGCTGCCAATCCATCACAGCCCTCAGCCAGTCGGAGGGCGAAGGTGGCTACCTTGGCACCGGCTACACCAAGGAGGAGTTCAACGACATGATGGAAGGAGTGTGAATGGAGCACCAGATCGACCCGGACGACCCGGATCGCCATCCATCAGATCCGGAGACATGGGATTGGAGGGGCATTTGACGGATGAGCTCAACGACCACGACTACTGGGAGACATGCAAGAACAAGTGCATCCGGCACCATGTTCTCCCAAGAATTCTCCTCATGGACCTCAACCGAGTCCAATGCCCAATCCCTCAACATTGCCTTGCATCGGAGTGCCGGGCTGAGATCAACTATGAGGATGGGACATTTGAAACCATCACATACTGCTGGGACACCATCTTTCCAACCCAGCTTGAGAAGACATGGACAGGCCGCACTATCTTCACCATTGAGAGCACCAACAACAGCTCTCGTGCCTACCTCACGTCAGCAGGCCGAAGGGATCTTCGAAACTCAGTGAGGCAGACACACCATGTCCTCCAGCTCGAACACACACTGGTGAACCAGACCGCCCATGAGCAGCCCGACCTCCAGAACATACCTCAGCAGCGAGCCAAACGACCCAAGGTCGACATCCTGGAGACTTTTGCAGGCGCCGCCAACATCGCCAGGCGATGCCCCAAGTACCACCTCACAGCGGCACACCCTATGGACTACAACACCGGTTGGGACCTGAGTAAGCCCACTCACCAGCTCCAGGTTGAACAGACATTGGATGAGCTCACACCTTTCATCCTCATCCAAGGCATCGACTGCAAGGATTGGTGTCTTTTGCAAGATAACACCAACTACGTCAGGCGAAAGATCCTGCTGTTGATGAGACGTGCCAAGGCACGCAAGATGCTCAAAGCAGTGTGCAAATGGTGCCACAAGCAAGCTGCAGCCGGAAGATACTTCCTGTTGGAGAATCCTCTCACCAGCAGGATTTGGAACGAGAAGGACATCCAAGACCTTCTCAAGCTGCCGAACGTTGAGTTTGCTGCATGCCACGCTGGGGCCTACGGAGCGACCAATTCCAAGGGCCAGATGATCAAGAAGGGACATCGCTTTCTTGGCAACTGTCCCATGGTGCTTCACCGCCTCACCAGGCGTTTGCCGCCAGAGCAGCTCAAGCAATGTGTGCCCTTAGAAGGCAAGGAGACGACCTTGTCACAGGTCTACCCACCAAGACTGGTCGACCAAATCCTTCAAGGAGTTCGAGACCAGCTCACAGCCCAATA